CGAAAAGGCTATGGGAATTAATTCGAGAGAACAATCCTAGTCTTTGCATACAAAAGAAGTTTGTCTTACCTTTGTCTCTCCCTTGCTTGCCTAGGTGAATTCTAATCAAAACTCTCTCCTACCCTTTCTTACTTTCCATTTCCTTCGTACTTTTATGATACTTATTTAAACTCTGATTATCTATCTGTCCACTTCACCTTCAGTATAACGTGACTTTTAAGAGATGACTTAATTTGTTTATTGAATTGTCTAGATTTACACATATTATTACCCTTGTTATTTTTATCGTCACCTGCATAAACCTTATTATTATTATTATCATTTGATCCACAAACTCACCTTCATTGACAAAATGTTTATAAATAAAGAGGTATGTAAATCAGAGTAGAGTCTGAAGAAGATCTAATTGAAAACAACAATATTGTTCGCTTATATGCTTGTTCGAACAGTAATAATGGGAATAGTTAAAGTAGTACAGGCCACATAATAAGATGTGCTCGAAACATCACTCAGTTATGAATACTCTGTCACTGTATATCATATCAAGTAAACTTATTTAATATGGAAGGAATTATATTCTACCACAACGCTCAGGCTCTCTCCTATTAAAATAGGCTGCGCCATATCTGTTATAATCACAGCTGCGTTGCTTTGAAGAACACACCAAAACGTCTAGATCTTCTGGATATCGTTAGCAAAATTAAATAACATATTCATTTCCAAATAAAACCAGACCATGCACTTCGGTCCAGTCAGTCGAAGGGGGAAATCTAAAATTCAATTAAATAATTAAATAGGACCCGTTTCACAAGAGGTGGCTCTCGTGGCCTAAGTGGTCTAGAGGATAACTCTTTGACGTTTGAAACTATGGGCGCTGGGTTCCAGCCTCGGTGGGAACATCATCACTCACTGGGGAATGCAGGTACATCCAGTGACGAGTCCAAAATAGGACGAAATGCGCATCCTGGATTCCACTGCTAGTCACCATCCACCAGTTAACTTCCAATTGAACAGTAGTTTATAAAGCAAGGAGTTTACCCCACTGAATTAATTTTACAGCAGTGGCCTATCAGTTAGAGTTTCGGCTTTTCAAACGATAGCCTCTTGCTTCGAGTCTCATTCGGATCATCATTAATCACTGTGATAGAGGAAAATCCAGCTGACAAGTCCCAAAATAGAATGAACTGAGCATCTTGGGTTCCACTGCTGGTCACTATCCATCAAATAAAATTGTGCC